CCGTACACGAACTCCCTTTTATTCCTCCTGGTCCACTCACAGACCTACGCGCAAGGGTACCCGTTTTCTCCGAGGGAGGGAGGGAGAAGCGACACGGACCAGGCGGTTGTAAAGCAAGTAAGCAGGTGCAGCAGCGGGTGGACGCCTCTGGATTATTCATACTTCCTGCATTTCTCGGAGGTCGCTGGGGTCAGGCCGAGTCTCGTCCTTGTGTTCCTTTGACACGTTCGTGCTTCTCAAGGTTGGGATTGATGAGGGGGGAGACGAGGAGGAAGAGGATGAGGAGCAGGTCGAAAGGAAGAAACAATTCCTGGCCATGTTTGACCAGCTCGACGTCACACCCCACCAGAACGACACTGAGTGAGAGGCAGGGCAGGTTTCGTTCCTCAGCTCAGCTTCTGCTGTTGACAGGCTGCGACTCTTCGCCAAGAAGATCATTGAGTTGTCCCGCGAAAAAAGCAATCCGACCATCATAATGAGCCACATGGAGACTGCGAGAATACTGGGGGTACTCCCCTCCCCTGACTCCTCCTCCTCCTCGCTCCTAACCTTCACTACCTCCTGTCTCTCCTCTTCTTCTTTCTCGTTGTCCTTCTTTCGACTCCTCCGCTACCTCCTCCTCCACCTCCCCCTCTCCTCCTGCTCCTGCTCCTGCTCCTCTTGCTCCTCCTCTTGCTCCTCCTCCTCCTCCTCTTCCTTGGCCTCCTCCTGGCTCTCACGTTCTTGCCAGTCCGTCTACAACGCCAAGAGCACCATAGATTTGACCTTGTTCGACATGAAAAATACTATCAGGAAGAAGAAGGGCGACGATGAAGAGGAAGAAGCGAAAGCGGTGATTAGTGATTGTGACAACTCTCGGCCTGTTCACCATGAGAGAAGGCGATTCGCAAGGCTCTTGGGGAGGAGGAGGACGAACGTCAACAGGAAATCAAGAGGATGAAGCTTGAGGTAGGACGGGCTAGTCATCTGTTGGGTCCTGACTGGGAGTAGGAGCTGGGAAAGGCCGCTCTCACGTCGTTGGACGAGATCATGGGAGATCCGATATTGTCCTCGTCTTCTAGCATGCAGGAATAACTAGTGGATACCTACTCTCTCCCCCTCTTCCTCATTCCATCCGTCCGTCCAATCCCTCCCTCCCTCCCTCCCTCCCTCCCTCCCTCCACGCCTGGTCAAGTTCTCCTTTGAAGATCCCGTTTTCTCATCTTGCGCATCTGCTGGGGATGGGGGGGGGGCAGGGCCTGAAAGTTTGCAAGTACAAGTGACTTGTTCAAGAGAGAGTCTCAGCAGCAGCATGGACATGTTATGATGCGATCCTCAGAAATTTTGCTCAACATCAGGTTGATGTCATACAGCAACTCAAAGTTGACAGAGCCCAACTAGCAGCTCCATGGCAGCCAACGATCTGTCTTAACAAGATCCTTTGCTGCTGCTACGTGAACAGCAGACGCTGCTAACGGACCGTTTCCATCCCATCTCCCCCTCCCTCTGCCACACATTCCCCCACAACCTCCCGCACCTGACCCTCGTGTCTCGCTGCTGTACCACAAGAGCTGTCGCTTGTTTGCGTGACCGTGGGTCATCCCCAACAAGTCTCAAGCAGCGAAGTGCCGAACGTGCCTCCTCCTCCATCTCCTCCTCTGCTTCCCCCACGGACACCACTTCTCCTCCTCCTCTTCCGCCTTCCCCAACAAGGTATCGACGTACAGTGTTAGACATAAATCTCATCGTTGCCCTCCGATGAATCCGCTACTCTGATCCTTGAGAGGCAACAGACCCTTGATAGACCTCTATGACGTATCGCACACAGTCATGTGTCACTAGTGTACTAACTAGTATCACTAGTATTCCAACTCGCAACCCATGTATGCTATCAGTATGATGATGACATGTATCAGTATGATGATGACGTGTATCAGTATGATGATGACGTGTATCAGTATGATGATGACGTGTATCAGTATGATGATGACGTGTATCAGTATGATGATGACGTGTATCAGTATGATGATGACGTGTATCAGTATGATGATGACGTGTATCAGTATGATGATGACGTGTATCAGTATGATGATGACGTGTATCAGTATGATGATGACGTGTATCAGTATGATGATGACGTGTATCAGTATGATGATGACGTGTATCAGTATGATGATGACGTGTATCAGTATGATGATGACGTGTATCAGTATGATGATGACGTGTATCAGTATGATGATGACGTGTATTGTTGTTTCGTAACGGACTCAAGCTGTCAACAGCCTCCCCTGCACCTCCTGACTGACGTACCAGTCGTTCCTGCCGTCGCTGTGGTAGAACGAGTAGCCGTTGGCGGTCAGCAGCCTTCGGATGAGGCTGTTCTTGGTGACGTTGTGGGTGGTAGCCTGCAGGAAGGAACCAGGAGGCGTCACAGGAGGCCAAGGAGACAGTCAAAGTCTTCACCACCCACCTCTGCTGCGATCACCCCGAACTTGACGCTGCTGTAGTCGATCGACTCGAGCACCTCAAGCTCCCCTCCCTCCACGTCGACAGTCAGCAGGTCGACCTGCTCCACCCGGAGGAACCGCAGAATCGCCGACAGCGGCAGGCAGAGCATCTTGTGCATTGACTGAGTCTTGTGCCAGTACCGAAGAAAGGAGGGGGCCATGAACTCGTAGATGCCGCGCACTGCGGGCCCTCCCGATGTCATGTAGTGAACCTCCCGTTCCTCCTTGCAGATCGCCGCATGCACCAGCACCTGGTCCGGCCTGTTCTTGACGAGCTGCCTGAAGTTGTCAGGATCGGCCTCGATCAAGATCCCCCGCCATCCCATGGCACGCTCGAAGTAGAAGGAGTTGGAGTAGGTCGACCCATCAAGGGCCCCGAGCTCCAGGAAAGTTCCGCTGCTGCTGTTGCGGAAGAAGTGGGACCAGGCGAAGCGGTCCTCTCCTGACTGGCTGCGGGAGAAGGAGGGGAGGAAGGAGGCGGAGGGCCGGGGCTGCCGCTGCCCCGCGGCCATGTCCTTGGATGCCAAGGAAGACGTATGTCGGGGAAAGATCCAGTGCAGAGGTATTGACATGCTGTTGCTGTTGCTCGTTGTTGAACCTTTCTCACTGACAGACTGTGCTTGCGGGAGAGGGCGAGGAGGACCAGTATGCCTCTGATCAGCCCTCAGCCTCTTGGAAGCTGTCTCCTGGGGTTGAAGGCTCTTGGCTTCGGCTCTCCGCTGAGAGATTTCCCCTCCATCCCACGGCCTTGAGAAACTGATCCAGCAGACAACTCCAATGACCGACAGGGCAACGAGGATAGCTGTCTTGTCAACCATCTCTTGGATGTCAAACCTCCCCTGATCTCTCGCTTGTCCTGACCCTGTCCTGACTCTGATACAATCCTACTCTACCCTATCCTACCTTAACAGGCTTCTTGACATCCTGACATGCTGTAGTCCTGTCCACGTACCTGTGGTGATCAGACTGCTGCTGCTGCTGTTGCTGCTGCTGCTGCTGCTGCTGCTGCTGCTACTGCTGCTGCTGCTGCTGCTGCTGCTGCTGCTACTGCTGCTTCCTAGCCTAGCGGCGCATGTTTGGCCTGATCATCCGATGACTGTCGGGAGGGTACTGAGTTGCCACTACCCACCCCACCTATCATTGAAACTTGAATCCAGGGTTTTTAACTATAGTACCCCATCATTGACTACAAACTACCCCTGTATTCTACAGGGAATCGATCCAACCACCCCCTCCCAAGACGTGCCACACAGCAACCCATAGCCTGCCAGTCACTGATAGTACGATTTGGGGAATCACCTGAATCGCCGGGAAAATTTATGAAATTATTTCTGTATATTTGAAATATACAAACAATCTTTTGCAGGCTCACCTAATTTTTTAATAACATTATATCATCAGAAGTATTTTAAAATATAAATTTCTACTGGTATGTCATGCATATTTATGATTTTTATATCTATACAAGGTATTTTCCGATAGCTTCATTCTTCATACAAATATAGTAATTATTTTAGTAAAAGCAATATCTTTTTAAAATGTACTATATATACTGAAGTTACTTTTAAAATTCTTCTGGTTCTTCCAACAATTGTATCAATCTCATGTAAAAGTAGTTTTTACCCTAGTGATATCTAAAACAATTATTGGGGACCATGCAGGAAGCAGGGAGAGACAGAGGTTACAGGCAGTTGGGGAGGAGGGAGGAGGGAGGAGGAGGGAGGGAGAAGAGGAGGAGAAGCATGTAAAGAACAAGGCAAGAACAGACGGGATGGATGCAGACAGGAAGGAGGAGGAGGAGAGTTGAACGCATGATCCCGCATTCCAAGGTGGGAAAGTGAAGGGCAGAGCATGAGGGAGCGGTAGGAAGAGAGGGCTGGGGGAGAAGGTGAAAGCGGAGATTTGTCGGGTAGAGAAGATCTTCCAGGAAGGGTGGAGACAGGATCGATGATGAGATGCTGAAAGTTGGTGATATGAAAATCAGGAGTCCCACGATGTAGCTGGGGAGTGGGGGCGAGGGCCAGGGACAAACAGGAGCGTTCATTGCAATCTGGTACAAATACAAGGAGAAGGAGAGAATTTCGTATGTTGGTTGCAGTAGTTGACATGGTTGATAAGGTTGGAAGAGGTGCAGGAGCGAGCAAAATAGAAGATGTGAGAAGAGTTGCTTTCAGTGACATTTGGGAGAAGTTTTGTCGAGGGAAGCAGGTCGAAACGTGGAGTTGTGAATGTGCATCTTGCTTGCGAGAAGGTTGTGTTGTTGAGAAGATGAGGAGAGGACATGAAGCAGAGGGACATGTGAAGTCAGGAGGAGGCAGCAGATCAAGTAAGGGTCGTTGCGAGAGCAGTCGACTTACATGAGCTGAACTTTGAGTATCACGATCTTCCTATGTCAAGACATTCATCCATGATCTCGGACATGTTCTGTTGTTGACATGTGTTGCAGCAAACCACTCTAAACTCTTCGCACTCCTCTCAACATCTCCCACCATGAGTTATATGTTACCGCACCTTGACAGCGGCTATGCCGTTGATCAAGCCATCCTCAGCGAAGAGGACCGTGTTGTAATCATCAGATTCGGGCATGACTGGGATCCGGTGACCTTGTTGCTCTTTTACTGTCTCCTCCTGCTCCTGCTCCTGCTCCTGCTCCTGCTTCCCGACTTCTGACCTCCTGGTGACCTCAAGCTTGATAGGCCTGCATGAAGATGGACGAAACTCTTTATCACGTTGCTGACAAAATCAAGAACTTTGCAGTCATGTTCGTCCCTCCCCCTTCTGCTCCTGCTCCTGTTTCTCCTCTTCCTCCTACCTCCTGCTCCTGCTCCTGCCCCTTCCCCTGCTCCTGCTCATTGTCCTCCTCCTCTCACTCTGTCTACTCCAGTTACCTCGTGGACATCACGGAGGTCCCAGACTTCAACACCATGTACGAGTTGTACGACCCAGTCACCGTCATGTTCTTCTTCAGGTGAGAGTAGGAGGAGTTTGACAGCCGCGTGCCCTAAGCCTTCTTGCTAGGAACAAGCACATCATGATCGATCTGGGAACGGGAAACAACAACAAGATTAACTGGGCTCTACAGGACAAGCAGGAGTTCATCGACATTGTTGAGGTGGTGTATCGAGGAGCGAGGAAGGGCCGCGGTCTGGTGGTTTCGCCCAAGGACTACTCCACCAAGTACAAATACTAAGACAAGACAAGGACCAGAGGAGAAGAAGAGGAGAGAGGAGGAGGAGAGGAGGAGAGAGCATGCAAGGACTTTGGACTTGTTGCCCTGAGAGTTTTGCGCTCTCTGGTTTTGTCAGGAGATTTTCGAGCTTGAACTCTCACCCTAATACTGATTGCTTGCCTGACAATAAAGAAGAGAACCTGTTGGATTATGAAGCATGTTGGTGGAGGCAAAGAGCATAAGAGTCAGGGAGGGAATCGGCAAGGGACTTGCCAGGTGGGATGGCAGATGAATGGAGAACAAGACCAGCATGACAGACACACATACAAGATGTTCAACGAGAGCATGAAGACGCACACGTGTCTGAAGCAGCAGCAAAGAAAAAAATTCACCCAGAGAGTTTCATTCAAGTTATTTCACTAGATTTGACAAGTTCAGAATACAATTATTTACACAGCAGGCAAACGACCAAGTCTGCTCATCATCCCGAATGGATGTTAACAAAGACAACTCTCTCTCTCTCTCTCTCTTCTCTCCTCACTCACACAGCCTGCGCCGCTCCTCGCTCCCTTGCCTCCTTCTTCACATGCTCCCCTCCATCCCCCGTGAGCCACACGTGCGTCTCCTCATCCCACCCGTCCACACTGAGCGACTCCGTCGGCAGCTTCAAGTCCCGTGCCTCTTTGATGTCCTTGAGCGGCACAGAGTCGCAGCTCGACGGGCTGTCTTCGTCTACTCTGCCCAGCTGTACCGTGTCCTCGTGGTCCCCGTCAGCCGGCACGTGGCTGCGGATATCGCCATGGTCCATCACGCTGAAGAATTCGCTATCCATGAGCTCGTGCCCAAAGTGATCGTGCTCGTTGTCGACATCGAACTTGGGCCGGCTCGCCGGATCGTGCTCGAGCGCTCCTGTCTCAAGGAGCTGGTCGCCCTTGAGGGAGAGATGCACGGGCGCCTGGGGAGACGAGTGAGAAACCAGCGACAGGAGGAGGAAGAGAGCAGTGGAGAGGAGAGAGCAGTGGAGAGGAGAGCAGGAGAGGGAGAAGAGGTGCAAGATTCTCGTCACCTGATTTCGCTCGTGATCATTGTGTGAGTTAGTCACTGACGCCAAGGCCGACGCGATCCTGAGGTCAGCGTCGCTCACGGAGACTCCGCCATGGTGGTCACGGTTGCGAAGGTGGGAAGGAGACATGTTCGGAAGAACCAACTACAAGCATGTCAGACGAAGTTTAGCAGGAGGCAAGGAGGGAAGAGAGGTGGTGGTGGTAGTAGAGGAGGAGGAGGAGGAGGAGGGGGGGGGGGGGGGGGGGGGTTCGTCGTAACCTGAAGGGCGAATGATATTTTTTTTATGTTGTTTTGAAGTGGGTCCGTAGAGGAGCTAGCTTTGCCGACGAGTCTCCGAGATTCACTGTTGTTGGGGGTTGGGGTGTATTACCAAAATCACTTCCCTAATACTTTTTTTTGTCGATGGATTGTGAATGTACCGGGATGTATGAATATCATTCATCACAAGGGCGCGACATAAGGTCTGTACTCTACTATCCCTTGCTCTCTCAC